TGCAAGAAAAAGAAAAATGATTGCCCCAGTGCAGGATTTATTAGAAAACTCACAAAGCAGTGGCCTTGTAAAACAAAAGTACACACCAGTAAAAAGCTGCGCATTAAGGAATTACACACAAGAGTGCTCAGCTGCTTCCAATGTTGGGCGGATTAATGAGAGGTGGAGGGAATGAGCAAGCATTTCCCAAAGTCAAGCTAAGCTGCAGCCAAAGACGGAGAGGGGTCACCAGCAGGCCAGCCTCTTAAATCAGAGCAAGAGGCCGGCCCCGTTGTCAGGCCGCCACTCGGGGGAGGAAACGCTCGGCAACAATGAGGATGGCCTATTTGTTGTGCGGCTTTTTTTCTTTGTCTTTCGGCCCTTTTTTGTAGCAGCTGGGCCCGTGAAAGCAGCTGGTCACAAGCGAGGGTGGGTCATGACAAACTGTTTGTTATTCCCAAACTAACTCGGACTTGACGTTAAAGAGGTGACGCACCCAACGTGATTACAGACGTACAAATTTCCACCGCAAAAAAAAGTGATTTATTCCCGAGCCGCCTCGCATCTTGCACGTTCCCTCCACTCGGATGATAAACTGCGACGTGAAAGTTGAATTCATCCCGCTGTCTATTAATAAATATGGTTTTGTGTGATATGTGAAGGCAATGGAATTCGCTTGGAGATGCATTCATCATCGCTCATTTTTTTCTCCCCCCACCCGCGTCACACGTTTTCATCGAGAGCGCACTTTCCGCGGGGATCACAAGGATACGCTTCGACAAACAATCTGATATCCGAGGTTAAGAACACACAAGGATAATAAATCGCTCGCGTGTCATGTTCAATTTCCAGCGGGGGGGCTTTTCCGAGCATTACCCATAACAGGATTTAAATTGTTATCAGGACGCACAACAATCCACTTTGCATCCTGCCCGCCGGTGATTCATTGCGGGGAAACAACTGTCACATTTTCCAGCATCAATGCCGAAGAAGTGGCGGCGGCGGCGGCGACACGGGCGCACTTCATGTACTTGGATGATTGTTTGAATAAATTGCTTCCATCCGGGCCGCCGTTCACACTAGCGCTATCAGTTTTGATTGTTTTTTTTGTTTTTTTTTTGTGGGCAGCTCCTTCCTGCCTCCCTCTGAGAGGACGATCCTCAGATGTAGTTACAATCAACACCCTTTTTTTTTTTATGAATTCAAACCACAAACAGGCCAGTGTTTAGGTTTAACCGAAACCGTTAGCCGAGACTCGTCGACGACTTGACCTAACCGCTAGCACCTCTCATTTACAAACACGCCATCCCGACAACATTCGCAGTGGGGGAAAGATATGCCGGATCATTATTTAACGTTCAACACAGCACGGTAACAAATTGCATCACTCGGTGGAAACCGATTCCATCGTTTCAAGCTCCCACCTCCAGTCAGATTTTGTCTCCCTGCATTACCACGACGCACATTTGATCATTAAAAGCCGATTCTTCATCGCAGTTCTGTTCTTTTCATGCAAATGTTAGTCGATACGTCGCAAATCTTGAGCGATGGCGCAGGAGTCCGTTTCTACACTCGAGCCCATTGACTTCTTGTAGGCTTTTTGCCGAGAATTTGAAAACAATCAGTGTGCGGCGCAGCACAATGCAGGGGGCATTAATCACAAAAGGGGCCACTTTATTCCACCGCACAATAAAAGGTGGATTGTTGCAACAGCTGCAAAGCGTTCCGGCGGGGCCGATGATTGATACGGCCACGCGGCGATCACGATGAGATGGCATCATTACCATATCGACGGGCTTTCTGATGGATTATCCTCATTGATTGGCTTCACGGTTTGTTGATAAGCATATGGGCGAGAGAACCGTGCTCCCTGCGACGGCAAGATACATTTACAAAGGCTACGTTTTGATGGACGGCATCACATCGATAAATACGCTCTCTTCCTACAAAGGCGACGCTTCGTAAGTCGGACAGCCATGTCATCCATCACGAACGGCATCGTTACAGGAACCTTAACAGTGAGCTAAGCTTCAAGCGTTTTGTGAAGGAAAACGAGAAAGAATGATATTTAGAAAGCGCCCTTGCGGAGCTTGAACATTTGTTAGCAGAACGCCGTGTTTCGGCACTCTAAACGCTCAGACTGCAAAGTTGAAAAGGTCAAGCGCACCGGTGGCTAAATAATGAGTCACAGCCAGGAGAGTTCAAATGTTGGAAATCTTCATAGCGCAGCGCTCATGATTCATGGCAAACCATGGTCCCTTGGCTCATACATCATGTGAGGCTTCTTCCCGCCCCCTCTCCCATCACCCAGGCTTCCCGTCCTACAGCCCCCGCCAAGGTCAACTGAAGGAAATCATCCCGCTACATCACAAGATTTATGAGAGATTCCTTTACTTTGCTGCCTGCGTGTTTACAGAATACATTGACTTCCCCAGCGAGGAATTGCCTCAGCCCCTGCAGGGTTTATGGAGCTGGGTTGGCTGGGGGGGTAGACATTTACTGAATGTCAAAGAGAGCTTAGTTCCAATGACAAGTACTAATTATGAACCAAACACGAGCGCTATCCAGGTGACATCATACAAACAGTGGGGGGGGGGAATACTGACGGATAATCTGGCCAATAACGGTGGGACGTGTTTGGCAGTGAGTTGTGGGCTTCTGCAACTAGTTTTCATGAGTTGCTGATGGACTGCAACTAGTTTTACTACCATTAAAAAAAAAATTTGAATTACATCGTCAAGAAGTCGACCCGGAACTAAATCTGATGTCATTTGGTTTGGAAAAGGCCTCTGGGGTGAGACGCCCAGTTCTTAATAGCAACGAAGATCAGTTCACTAGTACTGCATGAAATGTCACGGTGGCAACTGCACGAGGTGCGCGGCGTGAGATTAAGACGAATGCCACGGGTCCTCCGATGAGAACCCTTCTTATTAATCACCGTCACGGAGATAGAAGCAATTTTAAGCCACCGTCATCGACTCCGAGCACGGGGCTGGGGCGGCCACCCCCCCGTCACCGCCGAGGGCTTCCGTGTGCGACGACCCACTTCGTTAAGCTCTCCAAAAGATACGCGGAAAGCCTCGCGATACTTGCTTCTAATTTGTCCGCCTGCTGAGGAGTCCCTTTCGCTCAAAAGCAGGTGGTCCGTTATGGTTAAATAAGATGTGGGACTTGACAATCTTTTTGGGGTGCATGTACTCGTTGATCCAGATTAAGCAAAGTATAAATTTACTGTGGAAGTCCGTTGCGACAGCAGTTTGCCCGTAACTGGGACCAAGGTGAAGCCAATCACTTGGGCTACTTGAAAATGGGTTGTCATTGTTGTTTTACATTAGCGATCCATTTCTTCCTCATTTTTTCGGACGAGACCACAGACTCAAACAAGGCAACCTCTGGGACACTCGCAGGCATGCAAAGAATCCAACAGTGCTCGCTTAGCAGTCCGAAAATTGCTGTGGGATTTGTCCTGCCAGAACGGCCGGGCAGGTAATTCCTCTCCGTCTTTCATCGTGTTTGTCGGCGTTAAGTCGCCGAGCCCTAGCCACATCCATTCTTGCATCCAGTTCCCGCCTTTGTCCATCCATCAATGGGTGCACTTTGTCAGCGCCGACTTCATCCTGGTGGCAGCAATCGTATCCGAGAGCCGCTGCGCCTAACCCCAAACTGCCACCGGGGAGCTTTTTCACCTCCTATCTGCATCTGCTGTCGGGGGAGCCCCTGACGCAAAATGGTTTCTATTGCGGAGGCCGGCAAAGAAATAAACAACAACAAAACGCCGCACCCTGTTTCTCGGGAATGCTCCCTTCTGCAATGAACGGTGCGAGATTGAGAACGGCATCACACATCAAGGCTGCAGAAATTAAGACTTCATGAGCAGCAAATCAGCTCGACAGACAACACTTGTTCATCGTGAGAGTTGAACCGCCTGCAAATGGTGAAACCGTTAAGTGGTGCCTTGAGAAACACGTATCGGAAACACTTTCAGCTCAATCGCCGCCCACCATTTTGCACGCCACTGGTCGGGGCGCTCGTATGTCGCGTCCATGCAGAATATTCAAGGTTCGACCAGAATAAGCATCTATCGACCTTTGCATCCTGCAAGTGCGTGCTCGAACAGCAGGAAGAACTAATGAGACGCTGATGGGTGGCTTATTAACGACTTGGACATTTTGGCAATGATCAGCTTATAAATGGTTCCCGTCAAGGCGCTCCTAAACCTCCAAATGAGTCTTCTCACTTCAGCGCTCCCGTCGCGCAATAACAAACGAGCGCCATTAGCCGTATTGTTAGCTGCGACGCCCCGAGTACAAACAAAAGATCGTAAATAACAATCTGCAAGGTGAAGCCTTTCAAGAAGACCGATATCGGTCAGGCCTGCCATGGGGAAGGGGGGGGGGGGGGGGGGGGGTGACGGGAAGGGTCTGCCAAAACAAAGGCACGGCTGAGAGGAAGAAAACATGGCTGACGAAGGTGACGCTGGAAATGGTGTTTCTGGAAACCTTTGTTATTATTTGTGTCATATCTTTCTTCTATTTTGGTATTTTTTGGGACTATTGGTCACTATCTAATATTTCAAGATCTATATTCGCATTTGGAGCGAGGGACGCTTGTTTCTACACAATATAACCAAACAAGATCCACCGTGACCCGGGAAAGTTGATCCACTTATGTGACGTTTCAATAACATAATCCTAAAAGTGTGACGGCTTTTAACGGGATTACGTGGCCCGAACGGAGCGGAGACTTGTGGCCATAAAGGAAGTAAGTCCATACAACCACGTCATAGGAAATGGAACTTACCGCTTTGTTTGGACTATTTCCAGATATTTTTGGATTTTATATTATTATTGTTATTATTTGTGGATTTTTCTGTGAATATTTCTGATTGGGGATTCCTTTCTAATATTTGTGTACTATTTGCTCGCATTTAGTCATTTATTTTGTTTTTTTACTTTATATTTTGTGTTATTTTGTCTAACATTACAAATGAGCCATTTGCTTTCTTTTTTAGTGTACTATTTTTGTACTGTCTTCTATTTTTTTAAATTTTGGATTTTTCATACGTTTTGAACCGTGCATTTTGCTATCGGCATTAAGCCAATAGCAGGTAGCTCACCCCCAAGCATGAGAACAAGCCCATTCATTCCAGTAATTGATGCCGACAGCCCATCAGGAGAATAATGTATGGGAATAATGAAAGATTGTTTATGTATCACGGCATGAGAAGGTAGGGAGGCTTGTTTTTTTTTTTGTCTTTGCTTTTTTTTTTCAGGAGGGCGGCGATGCTGACGGATGGACAGAAGTGACAGTGCGGTATTCATCCTGCACGCTCCGCCGCTGGTGTTTGGACATGGCAATAAATCAAGAGCTCTTCCGCCGCCCTATCTACAGCTTATTACTGCCGGCGTGACAAATAAATAATAATCCCTGTCAGCCAGGCCCTTTTCCACTACACGATCAAAAGGCCGACTGAACTCATCACTCCTGCTTGTTGGTCGGGAATTCCAATATGTTGTGTGCGTCTAAACACGCTATTGTTTTTTTTAATATTGTGTTGGTGAATCAAGCATTTGTTTTCAATCCACGCTTGATGACCAATACTGACGCCAAAGTAAGCCCGGGCTCACGTTGCTCACCTGCTTTCTCGGTTTGGTCACGTGACATTTGCGAGGGGAGCCCGAGGGCACTTGGGTGTTCCAGACCCACAAAAAGTGCCAGAATTTTTTTGCGCCGCGGGTTAACAGATGAACTATTGCGGCACCAAGATTAAACGGCAAGTGAGAGCAGCGTGGTCGCAATGCGAACGGGCGCCCCGGCACACATTTTATCAGTCAACCAATTAACATGATTTATGGCTGAGGGGGAACCACGAGACTTGGGCCATAAATACAAACAGGGAGCGCGGTGCTGGCGGGTTGAGATGCTATCAAAGTCGGCCATTGCGCGCAGTCAGCTTGCATTTTGTAAATGTAGCTTCTGTGCACGACAGGTCAGGAGTTCAAGGAGCGGGGGGCGGAAACTCCCGACCCCGTTAATGGAGCGGACTAAGCAACAGAACCATCTTATCAAAATTCTGCCACCCGGGTGCACATCAGGGAACGTGTAGCCAGCGTCACACTGAGAAAGAAACCGTGAAGATGTCTCATGTCCAAAACGCTGAGTCACGGTTGACCTGAGCACACGTTGAACGGGGTCGCCTTGTGGAATTTGGGCCTTTCGCGTGATTTCACATCCACTCTTTGCTCAGCAGAGATTTATGGTTTCCCAAAAATATGTTAATTGGCTTCAAGTCGGGAACAGCCCGCAAACGCGCGGTGTATCAATGGCGTGCTGCTACACGAGAAAAAAAAAAAAGTTACTTTTAAATTTCAGTCAAGAAAATACACTTTTAATATTTGTTAATAAATGCAATTTTCTCATTTTCGTGCGTAAAATAGTAATCTAACAATTTGGAGATAGATGCTTTTTGTTTGTCTTCTATTTGTTTAAATTGTTGTTCGTTCTTGCAAGAATATGAAATCCTCTTTCAGCTTATCCAGGGCTGCTACATAAGATATTCAAGTGGTTTGAACTCAAGAAGCAAATAAATGCACACACACAAAAAAAAAAAAAAAAACAACAAGCCCCTGAGTGGAGCTTAAAAAAAAAAAAAAAAAATTCGTCCACGAACTGCATTTGAAGGGCGGCAAGTCCCAGCAGCAGGAGGCGAAGACGTCGACTCCAAACGAGGCCCGACGTGCTCGCGTATTGAAATAATAGCTGACAAGGACATTCAGCGTTTGCGTCAGCGTAATAGCCCGCGACACCCGAGCAGCGATGCCACCGCCGCAGCCTCGGCTTTAATTTGTTTTGATGGCACTGGAACTCTTTGCGGTCCGAGCGGTCGACTGGATGGGGGACGGGCAAGGTCGAGCGCGTTGGGGTTCGTCTTTGGTGGACACGGTGACAGCAAGCGGCTGTGAGGACTTTTTTTTTTTTTTTTCCTCAAGTGGGCAAACAAAGACCGAGAGTTTTGACAGGAGGGTGTCGCCGCAAAGAGATGAAATCGCAACTGTGTGCCGACCACCACGATTGGTCCATGGTTTAGCCCGTTTGCGGTTTGTTGCATCTGCAAACATGGCAAATAGAGCTTTTGGTCAACCGGACACTTGTCAACGTACGACTACAGATGAGTTAATGACCAATGAAAGAGCGAGTGGATTTTTTTCGAGAAGGCAACCCCGTCGAAAAGACTAAGTTGACTCCATGCGTGGGTTGGCTTCCCTTTCGGGGTCAGCGGACTTGGCCCGAGTAACGGCGAGCATATGCCGCTCTCGTGTCCTCAGAACGAGGCGACGAATTCATCAATCGGCAGTCATTCCACATCGCCCTGACAACGCATGATTGTTTCCCTGGCAGTGCACGAGTTCATTATTTTTCAGACGCATCCATGTCAAGTCCTTTTCCGCACTACAACTCAATTCTTCTCTTTATCATAACAATCATTAATAACCGTCAGCCGCGCTGCCTCGTTAGTATCAGAGCGGCATTTGTTTCTGCGCACAGGCTGATTATTTCCTACAAGGGGCCCGGGCCAATTACTTGAGCGGGTAAGGAGGGGGAAATGGCGATCACATAAATCAAAAGCTAACAAGGTGGCAAATTTAAAGCTATCCCGATTGCGAGAGACACCCAAACTAATACGTCACTGTCAGCGGAGCGCTACGTACACACACGCTGAATATATCATCCCAAAAAGATCTCTCAAGGTGGGGGGGGGGGAGGCATGAGCATATTCAGAGCACAGGTGGGAAGGAAAATGTAAAACGGTGACGTTCCAACACGACGGCGTTGTAGAGAGCCATCCCGCCGCCGTGTCTTTCTGGGCCGAAAAGCTTTTACTCTCCGCATGATGATGTTCATCCACCACGGCCCGACAGCGACATCAAGGCAACAACAAACATGCAAAGGCAGCAGTGGGAATGTGCTGAGGTGGTGCGCACACGCGTAAATACTCGCCACTCTAGCTTCGCCCAGGTTCAAGTAGATCTGCCGTCCCCACCCGGACTTGCCGTAACCCGGAATTACGTGTGATAAAGTATGCGCTCGACTGTTCGCCGCAGACGGAAGAAGAGCGATTGCACACAGGAGGGAAATCGATTGGTTTGTCAGTCATTCTTCTCCGCAAGCCTCAAATCTTGCAGTGATTCATATCAATGTTGCGTATACAGCTTCTCCTAATGTATAAGACTGCTGACCTGAAATAAAAACAATGCCAAAAAAACGTACATTTGGGGATGCGAATTGCTCAAAATGTCTAGGGATAAAAGTGACACGACAAGCTGGGTATTTAAAACTATCACACACGCTAACAAACAGCACGCATGCTAACATGCATTATTTTTGCCGATTTTCACCTATGGCGGGGTTGAGTGGAACATAATAGCAAACTGCGAGGGCAGACTGCATTGCGTGCGGATGTTATTTGTTTCACAGCATCTGCTCGGCCTCGTTCCTCATTTTGATGCGTGAATTGAGCACAGATGGAAGGCCGAGTTTCTGATCTGTAGCAGAAGTTACCGAGGGTTATCTTTGGCTGTCCATCTCGCCCGCCCCAGCGATGAAGGATTAACTGCCGCAGCTGTCGTCTTCTTCCTCTTTCTTCTTCTTCTTCTTCCGCCCAATGTGATGCAGTGCGCCGCTCGGCGACCAGACAGCGCCGCTTAATCTTCATGCTCGCTCAGAACTCAGCCAATCAGCATCACGTGGCGTCAGGGGGCGGACAAACCGGTGGCCGGGCCCCCGGAGTTCCTCGCGCTCGTGGTCTAATTCATCAACTTCAACCACAAACATCCCCGGCTGCACGGCCCAGAGCAGTCGTGGTTGATGAATAGGATGACGGGCGGAGGTTGCGGCGCGGGAGAACACTTATCAGATTGCACATTATGCACTGCTTTGTGTTGCCCAAGACTGGAGATCACGACATCCTGACAGGCACGCCTGACATTGCTGTGCTCACAAGAAGAGAGCCAGCCCCTCAAAGGATGGGCCGCATTCCCAATTGTGACACCGGCTCATTTCGCCGAATTGAGCCCGGGCCAATCCATTTGGAAAGATCCAAATTCAACTGGAGGTCGGCTACGTCATCCACTTTGCATCCTTCCACTTCCAATTACTGCGTTAAGTCGACGGTATGCGCATGGATGGAAAATAACACATGGACACAGAAATACAATTGTCAAAATTTGCAACGGGCCGTTCACTACTCAGAGTGAACTCCATTTATCGTAAAGAATACATTCAACCCAGCCACAATAGGTGAAAAATCTGCACGATCGAGATAGAAGACGGACAAAGTTTTACCCCTCCAGCATGCAAAATCCCTCAAAATTGAACATATCTTGTACATTTGACCGACCACAGAGAAAAATGCTGTGAATAACTTTGACAAATGACACCGAATGCTAATGCTAAAAACGACGCTAACAAAGAAGCCACGTGCTTCCCTGTTTTCGGGTTGCGCCAACAACTCGTAGCACATGCGAGTCGCGGCCCACGGGAGCCATGTGTTCTCCATCAAGATGAAAGGAGACTGTCCTCTTCGGAATGATGTCAAACACGTAGTCCTGCTAAAAGCCGAATATAAATCAAGATGTCAGCGCAAGGAGGAGGAGGGGGTAGGGGGGGGGCGGTTACAGGCAGATGGAAAACACTCGCGACTCACTCCATGCGATACCAAAGAACAAAGTCAGATGAGCCGGGGCTAATCCTTCAAAGCGCCGCTGATACTACATCTCCGAGTTTTTTTTTCTCTTTTTAACGATGACCCACTCATGTAAAAATCACGCCTGACAATATAATTTTGACGACCTCGCCGCAGCCAGGCAA